ACAAAAAAATAATAAAATAATTTTTTTTAAATAAAAAAAAAGTGTTGCCAGTTCTAGACATGAATGAAACAGGTAGCTTGCTTGGTGGTTTCAAAGATCTCTAAACTCTCTTCTACCCCATCACAATGTCCCCGCTCCTCTGAGTGAGTTCCATGTGGAACCTGTCCCTGTGCACCCACCTCCTGGATATTGGCTGTGATGTGACAGCTGAGCAAAGCACCAGATACACAACAGTATTATCCTTCATGTCACACAGTCAACAGTTCTCTCAGCAGGACTGGCCCGACCCATGCTTTCAGGGATCCAATAAATCAAGGGGAGCCCTCAGGTGATACTAACAGTTAATGTGCTCATCTATTAACCGAAGTGTTGGAGCTTCAAGTCCACACAGAAGTGTCATGAAAGAAAGGTCTGGCCACCTAGCTTTATGGAGTACAGTTTTTCTTTGTTACACAGTGGGTTCTCCACAAGTCAGAATAGACTCCACGCATCAGAATGGACTCCACGCTGGCTGGTTGGTTTTTTTTTAAGTGGCTGTGGAGTTACAAGAGGAAAAACATCCAAAGGGGTTGGAAAAGAAACAAAGAAAAGTGAAGTAGTCCACTGGCTTAGTACAAGGCAATTTTAATATCACATTGTAGAAGGTCCTATCAACTTTCCCCCTGTATGTCCAGGTGCTGGGAGAGAGAAAAAAGAAAGCTGCCTTCTAAAGCCCCTTTGCAAAAAATCAGGAAAGGGCTGCAGTGCATGTGTTTTTAAACAAGCCCAGAAGTCCCACTGTGTAAATAAATGCTGAGAAGCAAGCTCAGAGGGGCTTCTGAAGAGGCGGTGTCCAGTCTAATTCAGGACACTTCCCCGTGGAATATATACATCGCAGCTTGGCCAGAGAGGCGCACTGAGTTTTCACAGATGCACAAAGATGCTTCCTCGTGAACCTAGCCTAAGCCATTTAATTCACACTCATTTAAGCATACCCGGTGATCAGTTCAATACAGATGTCTTTGTGAAATTGGTCTCTTTTTCTGAAGATTAACCAACTGTGGCATTCCAGTTATTTGCAGCTGCAGGGCCTGGGATTCTGAAAGGGGGTGTTGTGGTGACAATGTGGGGTGCAGATGGGAGGAATCTCACCCACCCAGGCTCTTTTCAAGGGGCACTCCCCTTCATAGTCGACTCAGGGCAGAGGTTAAATGTGGGAGTGGGATGTAGCAGCTTCCTAAGATAAATGCCTTCCTTTTACTCCCTCTTCCCAAGATGGCCTTGAAGCCCTCCCAGGGGATGCTAGCCATGTATAGTACCTGATGCCTGCTGTGTTGTCATAATGGAATTTGGGGTCGCATGCTTCCTCTTCTTCCATACAGGAAACAGGTGAGGTAGGCAGAGAGAGTCCAGAGTCCTCTTCCATGCTCAGCGTCTCAGAGATCGGGAGAACAATGTAGTCTTTGCCATCCTGAAACAATACACACAGGGTGGCCGTTAGGACTTGTGTCCTTCAAGAATCTTATCATGCAAAACAAAGCCACAGGAGTCACTGGGCTTTGGGATGCACTGGTTTTGTACAGAACTTCTAAGACAATGTGGAAAATGACTCATTACAAACAAAAGGGCATTACTAACTGTCCACGTGAATACTGTTGACAGGGCAACTGTCTTAGAGCCTATATATTTATCACAATTAAAAAAATAAATAAAACAATCAGAGAGGGGAAAAAATCCTGAGGTAGCAGACTGGTGGTCAGAACAAAGGTTTGAAGGAATTAGGAAAGTTCCAGTGGGGACTTGAAAAGGTGGGGTCATGATGGGCATGGATCAATGGTGATTAATTTTATAAGACACATGTATGGGAATTAAAATGTGTAGCACAGTGTGAATGGAGGAATGTATTAAAAACAATGTATAGAAATGAAACACAATGTACACAACTTTTACATATAAACCAATATATTTTTTATAAAAAATATAATGCAATAATAAACAACAAGAACCAAAGGGTACCTGAAAGGGTTGTGTATCTATTTTGGTATACTGGATTAGCTAACAACAACAGCAAAGAGGGGGAAAAGCCACCAAAAATCCACAAGATGATTAAGGGAACTCTGGTTACAATGTAGATAATGCATGCTGTCATTGAGGACAATCAGGAAATCTTTTCTATACAGAGTTAGTACGTTATTTCTTCACAAAACCTTGTAGAAATGACTGGGTCCTTTAAGAACAAGCCATCCAATTTCAGTCTCTGCATTTCAAGGCAATGAAAAAAAAAAAAAAGCCAACACAACAGACTAAAACCCAAACGGATGACAGTCTAAGGAAAAGTTTAATAAATGAACAGGCAAAAATGGGCCTTCGGAGAAAAGGTAACACAATTTAGTATTATTCAGCCAGGAGACAGAAACGAAGGTTCAAATGTTTGGAAGTTTCACTGATAAAAACAGATTTGACCCATTGTCCTCCGACTATACAAAAGGAAGGCTGAAGGAAATTGGCTTCCATTGTAGTAAGAGGCATTGTCTGGAGAGTAAATAATTTTCCCATGGTAAAGGTTACGGTTCTAAAATCTTCCAGTGGAAATTACAGCAGCTTGGGATCTGACCAAGGAGAGAGCCGTCCATTTTTATAGGGCTCGGATGTGATTTTGCCTGAAGACATTATTAAAAATTCCCTGAACTTTGCAGAGAATATGTAGAGCCACCGGAAGTTTTCTTCTTCCTTTTGGAAGAACATCTGAAGAGCTAAAATGAAGATAAGTAGGGAGAATGAGAGTGGTGTGCTTTAGGTTATGAATTAGGACACCCCACCCCACCCTGCCTGAAAGTGTGGTTACAACTATTTTAGAGCATCACTGCTCAGGTCTGGAAGGATATGCAGGTCCTTATTTAATGCAGAGAGCACAGTGGCCAAGTAAAGAACCTCTCACTAAGAAGTCCAGCACCCATCAGTACTCTGCACATCATGCTGGGGAAGGTGGAGGGTGAGATGCAGAGAGGAAGACCTTCAACAAGACGCACTGACCCAGTGAGTGTAACAGTAAGATCATGAGGATGGTACGGGACAGAGAAAAGTTTCGATCTGTTGCTCAGAGTGTCACTATGAGTGGTAGTTGCTTCGATGGTGGCCTAGTGGCAAGAAGCTGCACTGCAATCCCGAAAGCATGTGGTTCAAGTCCACCAGATGCTCCATGGGAGAAGGATGGACAATCTCTTCCCATGTGATTAACTGCCTCTCAGCTATGGGTTGATTCTGACTCAATGCTACATAACAGATTAGATGGAAGGTACAGACCTGCTGGGCATTAGCTTGCAAGAGATTTCCCAAATGTTCCACCAGCTCGGAAAATGTAGGTCTCTGATTGGGCTCCCCATGCCAGCAGTCAAGCATGGTCTGGTACCTAGAGAAATAAGACACTGATTTCATTTTAGGTTTCTTTCCTCTTGGATCTCAGCCTGGAAATAAATAGTACATGAATGAGCATGTGTAAAGAGCTCACCATGAACAGAGATGTTAGCTGTTGTTAAGACACAGATCTGAAGAAGAAAATAAAGACACAGATCTGTATAAGACACAGAATCCCCATACCTGGAGAGTCAATCTTATGCAGATAAAAGACAACATTACAAGTCAACACTGAATAAAAGTTAAGGAAGCACTTTTGTTCTAAGAAGGAACAGAGGACGCTAAGCTAGTGATGACCAATGAGGGCTTCAAGGAGGAGGCAGGACACACAGTGGGCTATAAAGGAAGTCCACACAGCCGAGAGTTCATGGCAGGAGAATGTGTCAGCAAGCAGAAGGGAGGAGGATCCTTTTAAACACTTACATTTCTGGGGTAGTATAATCAGGGGCTCTCATTCTAGTTCCTTCTTTCAGTCGCCTGCAAAATTCCTCATCGATCTTTACCCCAGGATATGGAGATGCTCCTAGAATAAACAAGAGTGGGGTTGGGGTTTTGTGTGTGTGTGTTTTTGAGTGAAATATTGACCTGATTTTCTCTTTTAAAAATCCCTGAGTCTAAATATTACTGATCCTCACCAATGTCCCATCAATTGTTTTTTAATTTTGCAACCCAAAGATTCCAAGGGAGGGGACAAGGAAAGGGGAAGTATTCAGGGTGGGGGGGAAGACAGAGTAATGATGGGAAAGGTCCAATGGTGATTAATTTTAGAAAACATAATGCATGAGAATGATTGTATAAAACACAATGTGAATGAAGAATAGTGTGTAATACAAGGTATACAAACCTTGTAAACAAAGTAGTAGGAAAAAAGAATTTTTTAGAAAAGTAAAATATAAAAGAGGAAAAGACATGTGGGGACCAGTAACTTTTTTCTTATTTTGTTTATGAGTCTGGATGGAGGGATAAAGAAAAGTAACTTACCCAAGGAAAATATCTCCCAAAGCAAAACACCGAAAGACCACACATCACTCTGGATTGTGTACACTCGATCAAAAATTGTTTCTGGGGCCATCCATTTCAGAGGGAGGCGAGCCTAAGAAGGCAGAAGACAGACCTCAATTAGCAAATGTCAAAATAACACAACTTCCTTTGTTTCTAACATGTGTTTCTGAAACTTGCTATAGGAATTTGGCTGCTGGCACAAACAGATCGGGCTTTGAAACTTACATCTCCTTTTCTGACATAGTCCGGGTCTTTATAAATATCCCGCGCCAAGCCGAAGTCACAGATTTTAACCACGTTCTTCTCAGACAAGAGGATGTTCCGCGCTGCCAGGTCCCTGTGGATACACTGCAAAGAAAATCGTGTATGCATTAGGTCTGAGCACAGCTGATTTCTTCCACATCTGCCGTGACCTCATCCTTGAGAAAAGAAATCCCGTATCAGAAAATCAACGGATTAACAAGCGCCACGTTAATATCTTTTATCAACACTTCAGGAGGGGGGAAAAAATTCTGGGAGTTTCATTGAAACACACACCTGCTAATCTCATAAACAGACCCAATCTTTGGAGTTAAGTAAGTCAGTTATAATACGATGACAGAGTCACAAATAAATTTCTCTGAGACACAATGAAGAATGTGTTTCTGGTCACATCCACACATCCCCTTCGCCTGGTGCCATATATGGTTAACGTTATGCTAAGGCGTTTGCAGAACGGGGTTTATCACAAGTGAATGCATGGAAATCAGCAACAAGGACTCACACTGGTTTGATGCTCCTCAACAGTTTCCCCATTCTCTGTGTAACCAAGGCTGGACTGGCTCTCAAATAAGTCTTGGTGACACTCATTCTGTTTTTAAAATGTTAAATTATCATTGCCCCTGCTAGACTCAAATTGTGCCTGATTCATTCCAACCATACACACAATGGGATTAGACCATCAGGAGTCATTGCATTTCCACTGACTGATCTTCAGTAGATCAATCAAGTCACCTTGGTCTGGAAGGTCTGCTGAAACCTACTCAGCATCGTGACCAGATACAACCTCCACTGGTCAACTGATAGTGGATATGGATGAGGTGCACTAGCTGACAATGGAAGCCAGCCTTTCATATTAAAGGTGAGAATTAAAGATCTACTGAAGCAATTTCAGCATCTCATTAATAAAGTCTGGAGACTAAAGTGCACCTGATACAGGCCATGGTCTTTGCAATCACTTGCTATGCATCAGAGAGCTGCACAATGATTATGGACGATAGAAGAATTAATGACTTTGAACTGTGGTGTTGGAGAAGAGTATTGAATATACCATGGACTACTAAGAGAATGAAAAGGTTCGTCCTAGAGAGAGTGAGGCCAGGCTGCTCCTTGGAGGCAAAGATTCTGAAGCTTTGTCTGACCTATTTTGGACATGTTGCAAGGAGAGATCAGTCCTTGGAGAGGGATATCATGCCTAGGAGGGTGGAGAGACAGTGCAGGAGAGGAAGACCCTCTATGAGATGGATTGATTCAGTGACTGGGTTAATGGGGGTAGATGTGCCAGAGATAATGAGATTGGCTCAGAATAGAGCAGGGTTTAGGGCTGTTGTACATAGTTGCTGGCAACTCAACGGCACATAACAACAATAACACTATTAATCAAGTAGATTCTTTAGTGCAAGAAAAAGCCAACCTGAATTCACCTTCGTTTTCTTACTAGTTTTTTAAATGTCTCAAGTTTCTCCCATTTATTTATCTCCACAGTCATCTGATTTCCTACTGATGCTCCAAAAAGCCAATTTGTGTCCCAAAGGAGAGAGTATGGGAGTTTCAGAGAATATTTCAGAATGAATGAATACCTTAAATGAGAACTGTTACGTTCCATCTGAAATTATTAGCAAGGGTGATCATGGGCTGACCTGGTGTGGGCAAGTTCCTCTGAGTGACAGCATGTCCAGAAACACCTTGCCCAGCATGAATAAGCAAGACAGAGATTCCTTAAACAAGGTAGAACTTTCTACAATCTCCTCAACCAAAATGCTTCCTTTTTTTGGTTTTTTTTTTTTCCAGTCAAACAATCAGGTGTTAGGTATTCCAGAAACTATTTGGTAGATGGCGAGAAGATGAAAGGGTCCTCCATTCCCTTCCAGTAACTATAAGAAATCCTGACTAAATGATAGCTTTGAATTAAAAAAAAAAAAAAGAAATAAAATTTCCCATATGACCCCAGTTCTCTCTCATTCTTTTGAGAGAAGAAAGAGAAAAGCAACTTAGCAAGGCTATCAAAGAGTTTAGGTCTGAATACTTGTCATTCAGGAAGACCTGACTTAAAGATTTCACCTTAATTTAGAAGTAAAATGTGCACTTAAGTCTCCATTCCCTCAAGAGGCTGCAGGAGGCAAACAAATATTGTCAACTGATAGTTTTTCCTGAAATTCTGTTTGCATGTTCCTTGTTTACAGTCCATTTGAGTCTTTCCTGAAGGGCGACTTCAAGCACCCTTCCTCCATCCACGGTGTTTACAACTTTTAGAATATTTGTAACTTGTCACGTTCCCACCTCTGCTTTTGTTTGGCCTACTTTTCTAAGTTTAGCTCTTTTAATCGCTCTCATCTGAAGCATGTCCTGCCTAGCTGCTAATTATACTACCAACAAATACTTTTTTGATGAATGGTGATGGATGTAAAAGAAACTAAAAATAGCCTTTCTTACACGAAGACAGTGGCAAGATTCGGGTCCTCACCCCTCTGAGGTCACTGCTCAAATGCCACATCCTTAGTAAAGGATTCTTATCCATTTGCTAAAAAAATTAAGATATACATCCTTAGACGCACACACACACATACACACATCCCATCCTTTACCCACATAAACACACAAATGTGTCATTCTTGCCTTCTTTTTCTCCACAATATTCAACCACCTAACCTACATTATAACAGATGGAAAAAAGATTGAAACTGCCAATGACTTGATCCTTCTTGGATCCACAATCAATGCACTTGGTCCCAGCAGTCAGGGGATCAGGAGACATCTTGCACTGGGAAAGTTTGCAGTCAAAGACCTTTCCGAATTATTGAGAAGCAATGATGTTAGCTTGAGGACTATGATGTGCCTGATACAGGTTATGGTCTTTTCATTCACTTCTTATACTGCTGTGAGCTGAACAATGAATAAGGATGACAGAAGAATTGATGCCTTTGAATTGTGGTATTGGAGAAGAGCACTGAATATCCCATATCCTGCCAAAAGAACAAGTAGATGTGTCTTGGAGAAGGTGCAGCCAGAATGCTCACTGAGGCAAGGAAGGAGAAGCTTTGTCTCAAATACTTGAGCATGTTGCTAGTAGAGGAATATTATGCTTGGAAAAATGGAGGGATGGGAAGGAGAGGAAGGCCCTAAATCAGGTGACTGCAGCCACGGGTTTGAGTATGTTAGAGATTGTGAGGTTGGCACAGGATAGAACAGCGTTCGGACCTGTTGTTCATAGTGTCGCTATGAGTCGTACTCAACTCGACGGCACCTAACAACAACAAGCCTACATTGTGGAGTCTCAGGGTGGAACACACACTTAATATGCTTGGCTGCTAATGCATGACATTCAGGTCCACTCAGAGGCACCTTGGAAGAAAGGCCTAGGGCTTGATCCCCCCCCAAAATCAGTCATTGAGTATTGAGTATTGAGCCATTGACCTGACATATTTTTTCATCTGAAACACTTGAATCCATGACTCAAAGACAATTGAGTTTGGTTTCAGTTGGTTAAAGGACCATGTGGAAGCCCTGAATGGTTCAACAATTAACACACAATGCTGCCAACTGAGAGTCTATAGGTTCATGGACACTCAGACATGTCTTGGAAGAAAGGCCTGGTGACCTACTCCCCCAAAAGCAGCCATTAAAACCCCTTTACAGCACAGTTAAAATGGGCACACATGCAACTGTCATGAACCAGAATTGTCTCGGCAACAAAAGTCCTTTTAACCTACTACAGACTTTATTTTGTTTGTCTCCACATCCACCAAACATCACCTCCATTGGGATGAAGAGTTTTGTCTGTTAGCTCATCCCAATGTTCTTGGTGCTTGAAACATTACCTAGCAGAAGATGCTCAATTAGTATATGCCTCATATAAATTAATTTCACAAAGGTTCTATATTCTCTTAACAACTACAGAGAGACTGGTCCTGACACCTTCCTTGGAAACTTGTGATCTGTAGAGAGAGCTCATGTCTCCTTGAGTTGCTTACCTTGCGGGATGCCAAAAATTCCATGCCCTTCGCCACCTGGAAGCTGTAACAGATGAGATGCTCCAAGGTCAGGAAGTTCTTGTACACATCTTCAGAAACTGTCAGGAAAGCAGTATGAGAGAGGTCAGTATTTTCACCACTCAGTACTACTGCCACTCCTGTAGAATGAACAAGAATTTAAAGACCTTGGAGTTTCAAGAACCAGAAGCAAAAAGAAAAATGTCTCTGTCTTCTTCAGATTTACTGAAACCCTCATGTTACTCACCTTTATCATATCTCTTAGGGAAAATAATGTTGTTTTGTTTTTTTATTTTTAGCCCAATTTAATAGTCAAATTCAGGCAGCTGAATGGATTAAGATTCACAGAGACAACAGGAAGTTAAGGAAGATTGTCAGATTGATTGTTTTAAACTATTGTTTGGTCTTTGTTTTTGTTTTGGGGTTGCCTATTATTTTTTTCAATGTACCCAGAGGGATAAACAATAGTTTCATATCAAGAACTCTGAAAATAAAGCAACATTATTCAGGGTCACTAAATTTGTTCTCTCCAAGCTTTGTCCTGGGACAAGGGCCAAAGGTCAAACTATAATCTAGAGCGGATGACTAAAAATACCAGAAATATATTTACCTCTCTCACTTTCAAGCTGAAAAAGTGCTGTAAACATATTAAACCTGGCTCATAAATGCAATATATTTTCTTCCTTTAAGGATATGGATGAGGGATAACAAGACAATTGAAAGAAGGTTAATTTATGGGAATTGTGGGCATTTATTTCCTTAGAACTGGTACAAATAAGCAACTGGTACAAATAAGCAATATCATGAGTGTTTTCAAAACAATCTCTTCATTTTGGAGATAACACAAATGGCCTCTTTCCAGGCAATAAAAGACCACTGTCAAAAAAGGGATAGTCATAATAACCTTGAAAATATTAAAATGAACCTTGGTAGCACAACAGTGCAGCACTCATCTGGTAACAGAAAGATTAGGGGTTCGAACTCACAGAATGATTTCACGGGATAAAGACCTGGCTATCTGTTTGTTTCTATTAAGAATTACAGTCTAGAAAACCCTGTGGGCCACTCTTCTCTATTATGTAGGGTTGCTAAGAGTGAAAAATAGACTCGACGACATCTAATATCAAGACAGTTTTAAAAATCCCTGAGGCTTTCTCATTGACTTGTCATGCTTAGGGTCAGAAAGCAATCTCCTCCTATAAAGAGTTACAGCCTCAGAAACCCACTATGAGTCTAACTCAACTCATTGGCAATGGGTTGGGTTTGGGTTTGATTGGAGAGATCTAAGGGGTGAGACCTCTTCATTTTTCAGCTGAAGAAATGGAGGCCAATTTCCAGTCAGCACTCTCTGTAGTCCAATATGTTAGCTCATTCTCTTAGGTTTTCAGCTGACTGGCCACTATTTTTGAGAGAGATGGATCAGTGAAAGAAAGAATGACTTCTGTGGGGGTGGACTGACACAGTAACCACAGCAATAGGCTCAAATGTATCAGAGATGGTGAAGATGGCACAAGATAGAGCGAGATTCACACCTGTGGTTCACAAGATCACTGAGTCACACTCAACTCAACACCACCTAACAACATATGCAGGCCCATGAAAAGGAAACAGACGTGGGTTTTTCCTACTGTTTCTTAGATTCTTCTAAGTTCATGGGGGCAGATGAGTCAGAGACCTAGCTACTGGGTTTAGTGGTGGGCTGGGGATATGGTTTCACCCATAAAGAACACTAAAATTTCACTGGAAAGGTTACTGGATGAAGAAAAGTGTATTTATCAAAACTCCTTTCAGAAAATATGGTTAGACACAATACTTGGTAAGCTGCTTGGTGGGGAGAAAACAGCAAACAACCCTAGAACTGCTTTGTGGCAGGTTTGCTGTAGTTAATTGAAAACTATTGTGTGGTGAAAATTAAAATGTGGGGAAGAGCCACTTGGCACAATAAGGAGGCTAATCAACCATTAGAACCTCTTTGTTGATCCCTCCAGAACATAGTACTTAGCCTTTTTTGCTAATATTGAATCAATATGTTAAGAGTATCTGTTATGTTAGCCCTCCTGAGAGACCCATATTTCTCAAGCCAATCCTTTTAAACTTCATAATCTTGCCAGCTAATTGTTTAGGACTTCCTCACTCTGCTTCTGGGGAGAATAATAGAAACAGCCTAGAATGTCAAAGTCTCTTTCAAGTATGAGGTAACATTGGATTTTCCACATTACAAAATTCCTTACAGCACTCTATCACCTGGTCAGTTCCTACCAGAGCTTGAATTAAGCAAAGCAGCAGCAATGGCAGATACCTTCTTCCTCCTCCACATCACTGAGGGACTTCTCCTCAACAAATCCAGAACTGGCTGAGCTCTGGCTACTCGTGATGCTATCCAAGCGGCGTTTCAAGTCCACAGGGATCTCCCCAACATAGTCTTTTCCTTGACGGAACCGTGCCCCCTTGGTCTATAAAGAAATAAACAACATGTCTGTCTACAAAGTGGATCTTGAAATGGTGATAAAATACGGAAACAACAGAGACTATTAAAAAGTACACAATAAAGACAAACTTCAGGATTATATGGGGTCTGGGCTGAAATGCCAAGCAAATTCTTTATATATTGTTGTTGTTATGTGCCGTTGAATCACCTGCATCTCATAGCAACCCTGTGCACAACAGCCCAAAACACTGCTCTATCCTGTGCCAATCTTTTTGTCTCCAACACACCTATCTCCATCATCCCAGCCACTGAATCAATCCACCTCATCGAGGGACTTTCTCTCCTGTGCTGTCCCTTTACCCTCCCAAGCATGACATCCTTCTCCAAGGACTAGTCCTGCCTTGCAACATGTCCAGAGTGCGTCAGATGAAGTTTCAGAATCTTTGTCTCCAAGGAGCAGCCTGTTCTCTTAGCAGTCTATGGTATATATTCCTCATCACAACAACATGCAAGCTACTATAGCATGACAACTAACAGATAGGTAACATGAAGCATAGCTCCCACAGTTTAAAAAGATAAAAATATCTTGCTTCATGTTTCAACCAATTACTACTTTGGAGTGTTCTTTACAGAGAGATTTATACTCCTTGGAGCCAGATATAGGTAGGATAGAGAGAGAATCAGCAAAAGAAGTCTCTCAATGAGATAGATTGATTCAGTGACTGCAACAATGGACTTAAGCATGACAGAGATCACGAGAATGGCACAGAATAGGGCAAAGTTCACATCTGTTGGTCATAGGATTGCTATGAGCCGTCAATTTGATGTCACCTGCGGCGATGGTCTCTAGTGTGTCAGGAAGTGTGGTGTGAGGATGGCGCAGGATAGGACAGGGTTCAGATCTTTTGTTCATAGGGTCGCTATGAGTGGTACTCGACTTGATGATAGAAAGAGAATAACCTAGAAATGTCATTTCCTTCAACTGTCCCCTTCCCTCATCATATCCACCATATTCACCTTCTCCCTTCCTCTATATTAAATTAAGAAAAAAAATAACACAGGATAAGCATACCTCTCCCACCCCAGAAGGCAAAGGAGGAAGTTACACCAAGCAGGAGGTAATGTGAAAAGACCCTTTACAAGTTCTTCACAGAATTTCAATCAAAATGCCAGCGTATACAACTTTGAGTTTTCTCCTTTTTTACAATACGCCCAAAGTTGGGTTACAAAATAGCATACCTTGTAGGGGATGAATTCGTTTCTCTTTCCCCGTAAGTACGTCGATAGGTTTCCAAACTTGCAAAATTCCACAATCACCATGAGCGGTCCTGAAGAGCACAGAATGTTAAAAAAGGAAAATGTGTTTTCACTCCTGTTTCTCACTGAGTAATCCTACAGATAACTCAGAAGACGGTTGCCATTTTCAACTGGAACTTAAACACACACCTTCCCAAAAATCACAAACATTGCTTTTTCAATTCCAACTTATATATCATTTCTCTATAGGACAAACTAGAACTGCCTCATAGGGTTTCCGAAGCTGTAATCTTTATGTGCACAAACTGTCATATCTTTCTCCCACAGAACAGCTGATGAGTTTCAAGTGCCAACTTTTGGGTTAGCAGCCAAGCTACCCAATCACTTTGCCACTTGGGCTCCCTGGGAACAGGATCTTAGAAATCAATTGATCATACTTTCCTTATTTTATAGTATTTTTTTCTTCAAAAGGCAATTAAACTAGCTTAACTAAAGTTTCATTATCAAACTTACACGCTTGCTTTTCCACTAAGATATAATATCATTCTATTTGCTGAGAAACAACTCTTAAATCTTTTGCTTTCAAATTTTGAGGAAGTTTACTTTTTTCTTGTTGTTGATAAATGATGTTTAAGACTGTATTAGGGACCCTGTGGACAATGGCTCTAAAATGTGCCCTATTCTGAGGCCACCTCATATCTCTGACCTAACTGACCCACAGCCACAGTTTTATAAACACTTAAGACAAACAACAACAAAACAACAAACCGTTGCCTGACTCAGTGATTCTCGAGGACAGCAGAACTATCCCTGATGTCCTGGGCCTGGAAATCATTGCTGCCCTATCTTCTCCTAGGGAGCAGCTGGTGGCTCTGATATCCTTGACCTTTCACTCAGCAACTAAGCACTTACGTCCTGCACCACCAGGGCTCCTACATCTATGACGAAAGTAGCCAACACTGGTGTCTCTCTCTCATTGCTGTCAAGTATAATCATCTCATTGTTGACCCTACACAGGGTTTTCAGAGGCTATACATTGCATGGCAGGAGACTGCTTGTCTTTCAATTAGCAGTAAAAACTCACTGCCCACTAAGTCATCATAACTAATGTTGTTATTGTGTATCATCAAGTCAGAACTGACCCATCGCTGACTCTCCAGTGAGTTTTCAGAGACAATTAATCTCACGGGAGGAGACTGACCATCTTCCTTCTCATGGAGTAGCTGGTGAATTCAAACCATGTACCTTTGGTTTGCAAGTGCAACTCCTTAGCAGTAGGCCACTAGAACTCCCTTAATAGTGATGTTGGTGTTTGTTGTCATTATGTGCCGTAGAGTTGCTGGTGACTCATAGCGACCCTATGTACAACAGCCCTAAACCCTGCTCTATCCCTTGCCAATCTTATTGTCTCTGACACACCCACCCCCATTACCCCAGTCACTGAATCGGTCCATCTCACGGAGGGTCTTAATTCATAGAAACTTTTAGAATAATTGACTACTATGCCATTAGATCTCCACAAAATATAGATCTAGGAATCTGACAAAGCTTCTTGGGAAACCAAGACATTGACTGGTTTCTAGCAGATTTTACCAGATATGTTGCTGTTGGGTGCCATCAAGTCAACTACAACTCATAGCAGCTCTACGAACAACAGATCTGAACCTTGCCCTAGGCTGCACCATCCTCAAGATCTCTGCTATGCTTGAGCCCAATGTTACAGTCACTATGTTAATTCTTCTTGTTGAGAGCCTTACTCTCTTTCTCTGATCCTGCACCTTTCCCAGCATGAAAGCTAGGAAGCACACACCAAAATGAAGCAAAGGGAGCCATCCAGCGAGACTCACCTCCTGGCTTAGTGCAGGCGCCTAGAAGGTTGACCACATTGAGATGATGGCCAATATGAATGAGGATCTTGAGTTCAGACATTAGGGCTCGGTGTTCACTATGAGTTGCTCCTTCTACAAACAGAGCAAAGAAAGCAGTCATACATGTGGACATGAACTTAGGACATACAATACTTCTTTCTCTGCTAACCATACTGTATGTCTTACCTTCCCGGGAAAAGACAGCTATTATTCCTTTCTATGACAAGTACGTTTCCTTAAAAGTAAAGTGCACATGATATTTTCTAACTATAAATAAAACAATTCTGTTTAAATTTCCTTAAGAGCGCTATGGATTTAATAGTGAATTAAGTATTTCACCATTGTGAACTCTTTTTGCAAAGTGGAGAACACAGCTGCAAATGGAATCATGCCCAGATGCTCTTCTATTACAAAAATGGATTTCACATATCAGGTTTGAGTGGCTTCTTAGGACCTGGTTATGTCAGTGTTTCTTTATAGAGGGGCAACATCGTAGAATAAAACATCACTGTGTGTGAGAGACTGGCTGATATTCCAGCAGGTCTGTGCCAATCAGGAAACTTAACAAGGGCCAGCTGGCAAGGCCAGTTAGCTAACAGGGCTGACAGGGTTAAGGTTGTAAGTTTATCGTCACATAGACTGGTACCCTTTCCTTGAATTCATAGACAGTCACTCCTCAACCTTCACAAGATTTGATGAGTGGTATCAAAATTACAAACTTCAGGGCCACATGAGAGAAGGGCAAAATATCTTTGAAACACAATGACATTGTCTTCAGCAATGAAAGGCAAAACATCATAACTGGTTGCAAGGGGAAAATTGAATCACCTCACAAAAATGAAGTGGAAAGCTCAGAATTCCATTCCCATTAGGATTAACTCTGCCCAACTTTTCTATAACATTGAGCACACCTAGATTGCTAGATCCTCCCTTCACAAGCTGGCAAGACTCTAGAAATACTTTTCCTTATGTAAAAGTGTTTGAATTCTTTGTGTGTGAAAAATCACCTTTGGATGAAAACACAATGTGATGTATAAATACATACTCAAGGAATTTTTATTAACAAGTTAGTCTCATTTTTTAAAAAAAAGAACATCACTCCCAACCCCTCCTTTCCTAGCATTACCGTCGTTACTTTTACATACCATCTTTATTTTGAAGTTCTTTCGTATAACCTACTTCCAGATAGTGTACTGTTTCTGAAATTCCATTGTCTTTACTTATTATATCAAAATCATTTCTGTGTTTCCAGACGGTCAATAATTAGCTTATCCATGCACCATAAATATTAAGAAATAATTGTAATAAAATCACAGTATTGCTCCCCCTGCAACCAGGACCACTAAATACAATCATACAGGTTGTAATCTGTACAAAGACTCACAGGTAAGGTAAAGGTACAGAAGTAGGGAGCCTCATGAGAGGGGAAAGGAGACACTTCTTTCTAATTAGCAAAAAAGGCATGATATAGTTGGGTTACCTGCTTAGCTACCAGGTCTAACTAATCACTGAGACACAGCACATGCCTTGTTTAAAAACTGGGTGAGATGGACAGAGACATATAATGTTTTTACCTTTCAACATTTTGACAGCCACTGTCTTGCAAGTTGTTGTCTTGTCGATTCCAAAGGCATCGGCTTCAATCACTTGGCCAAAGGCACCACGGCCAAGAGGTTTACCTAGAGTCAACAGTCAAAGTTAACTATGAAACAGACTGTGATAACTACACCACCAAAGTGATGCTCCTTGTCTTAGCTTATTTGATAGCTGTCCCACCCCAAACCTGTCTCCAAATGTCAGAGTTTGGATGATAAATTTTTATAGGAACCCTATTTCTAGGTGAATAAAATGACAGATAGGTCTGTCTTAGTGAGGTTAAAACCAAGTTTCTCCTTGAAGGCAAGGATTTTGAAGCTCCATCTCACATACTTTGGGCACATGGCCAACAGGGACTAATCTTTGGAGAAGGACATCATGCTTGGAAGGTTGGAAGGGTGGAGTGTCAGCAAAGGGGGGGAAGACCCTGGATGAGATGGATTGACATGGTAACTGGCACAATGGGATTAGGTGTGTCAGAGTCAGGATAGGGCAGGGTTCAGAGCTATTGTATGTAGGGCCACTATGAGTTGCAGGTGACTTGATGGCACATAACAACAATAACAACAACAACAAAATGACAATTATACAAAATCAAGAGGCTAAGGAAGTATTTCTAAACCAGGACCTGACATTTTAATAGACTAGAGCTCTAGTAGCTTAATGGACAAGGAGTCGTGCAACCAACCAAAAGATAGTTGGTTCAAATCCACCAGCTGCTCTATTGGAGATAAATGGACAATCTCCTCTTGTAGGATTTACAGTGTCCAAATAAAGAGGGTCAGCAATGAATTGGTTCTGACTTGATGACAACGAGAGAAAGGGAGAGTAGTTGTAATCCAACAGGAGGAGGAGAGAGTCTGGTAAACATAACACCGAATTCATATTACATGAAGACACACCCAGTTTCAGCCGGTCTCTGGGGAATTCCCATTTGCTGGCATCGTAAGGCAAGCGTTCACAATGCTCATCCAAGGGCAGTTCATCGGGATCCATGACAATGGACAAGTAGCCCGTCTTCAGTTCCCCTCCATTGGCCTGGAAAACATCAGTCCTTCCAGTCACATACACCCTGTTGTTTGGCCGCTAGTTTTGAGTCTTGTTATGGCACCTCACCCCCGATGTCTCATTTTCCAATAAGACTCTATAGAATTTGTGAGTACTCCCATTACATTCTGGTTTCCAGTGTCCCTTCTTTCCCCAAATGAGCTCAGATTAAGTGCTTAAACCTTAATTACACCAGACAGTCCGAGCCCTTTTCCTCTCTAGTGGTTTCTAGCAATTAGAGTCCAGTGGCCCAGTCAGAAGAAAGTGGGCAGGAATGTAATTCCACTGAAAGACAAATGCGCCCGTGACAATGAGAAGAAGCAACTCAAAGAACCCTCGTCAGTTTGCATTAATCACAAGAACCAACGTGCACAGGGCAGAAGGGAGATTATTTGGTTACCCGTTTAACGGTCCTCAGAATGATGACGAGAAGAAGCCAGAAGAACATGGCAATCACCGCCGTGCCAACTAGAATGATGACCTCCAGGTTTGTCTTTTCCTGGGCACCTGGAAAGCACAACCCAATGAACAGCAGCAGTTTGTAAAGTCATACTTTCTGAGGTAAGAAAACTATAACATTCAATTCTAAGGAGGCATCTGTGTGTGGGGGGGGGGAGTCTTAGGTAAAAATAGTAAAAGCCTCTAACTTTGAGGGATTTTATAACATTCTTTGTGAAAAATTCACTAAGCTTGCAAAATAGTCCTCAAGAAAACTTTCAACCATGAAATGTTGAAGAACATCAATGCCTTTGAGTTGTGGTGCTGAAGAAGAGTCTCGAACACACCATGGACTGTCAAGAGAACAAACAGGTCTGTCTTGAAGTGGGTGAAACCAAGTCTCTCCTTGGAGGCTGGGATTTTGAAGCTCCATCTCACCTATTTTGGGATGTGGTCAGGAAAAACCAGTCCTTGGAGAAGGACATTGTGCTCGGGAGAGTGGAGGGACAGCACAGGAGAGGAAGACCCTGATGAAATGGACTGACGGTAACTGGAGTAATGGGGATATGTGTGTTGGAGTCAGTGAGACTGGCTTAGGGCAGGGCAAGCTTCAGAGATGTTGTACATGGGGTCGCTGTGAGTCACAGGTGACTTGATGACATATAACAACAACAACAAAATCCTGAGGTAATTGACAATCATTAACAATGGAATCATTATCAAATTATTATTGATTGAAACTCCTTAACATCTTAAAAAGGCAAGCCAAAAAAAAATCATTATGGAAGGGTATTCTTTGGTGGAAATATAACAGTATTTTCCATAAAGAAATGTATTTCTTGCAACACCATAGAAAGCAATCAAAAAGATAATATTCCTCTCAACACTTTACCCCCCCCCAAAAAAAAAACAAACAAAAAAAGCATTTATACCTGGGGTAATAACACATGGGTTTGACATGTATGGTTGTTACAGATTAAATTGTGACGTCCTAACCTTCGGTATCTGTGAACATGACCTTTTAAGAACTAAGGCCTTTGTAGATGTAATCAAGCTAGGATGAGGTCATTAGGGCAGGCCTTGATCCAATATGACTGTTGTTATTGTTATGTACCATTGAGTCAGAAACAACCCACAGCTAACACTCCAGCACATTTTCAAAATCTCAGATTTTCAAATCTCATGGGAAGAAACCAAATGCCTTCAGGCTGGCAGTCAGTTCCTTACCACTAGGCCACCTGAGTTCCCTTAATATGATGGGTATCCTTATAAGAAAAGGAAATGGAATACAGAGATATGGGGAAGGATGTCACATTACAAAAGAACAGAGGCAGAGATTAAAGTGATGCATAAATCAAAGAAAACCCAGAAGTGCCAGCAACCAGATCCCAAGAGAAAGCTCACTCATTAGAGCCTTTAGAAGGAGGATGTGGCCCTGCCAATACCTAGGGGTCAGACTTCTAGCCTCCAGAGCTGTGACAGAATAAAACTATTATTTCACGGCATTCAATTTGTGGTCATTTAATTCAGCAGCTTTAGAAAACGAAGACATCTGTGCTTTGATCTAAGGTGCTCTGGTGGCCTAGCGGGCAAGGGATTGTGCTGATAGTCCAAGGTAAGCAGTTTGAATTCATCATCTGTTCCGTGGCGAAAAGATGGGCAATAACCCCTCATGCAATTTACAGCCTCTGAAAACCCAACCCCTCATGCAATTTACAGCCTCTGAAAACCCACTGGAGGGTCAGTATTAGTTGATTCTAACTCAAAAGCAATGAGCAACAAAATACTTTGAAATGTGTAAAATTTAAGGCAAAAGGTGTTTCAGAACAAAGTAGGGAAATAAAGGAAGTGGCTTGCCAAAGAGCTCTTGTTGACCTAGGATGTGCTGATCACGTCAACGTGTTATCCCACTAACACCTCACAACAATTTTATTTTCAGATGAAGAATAGGAAACTGAGAGACATCACAGTACTTGATTGAGGACACACAGTTGGTTGATGGTATAGTCAGAGATTAAACAAAGCCTGTCTAACATGCTGGTGAGAGTACTGAATAACCCAGGGACTGCCAAAAAAATCAAGAGATAAGTCTTGGGGAAAGGTGCAGCCAGAGTGCTCCTTGGAGGCAAAGAGGGCAAAGATTTGTTTCATATTTTGGACACGTAGCTAGGTGAGGCTATTCTTTGAAAAGGGACATCAGGTTTCGGGGTTATTATTGTGCACTTGGTCACTATATGTCTCAAGCAACTTGATGGCCCATAACAACAACAATCAGTTGCAAAGAGTTAACCCAGGCAAGGGAGAGTGCCAGAGAAATGCTAATCTGAAAGTCTTTCCTAGCATTGCCTGAGACACAAACGAATCCCTTTGGAATTTGCCAAATTCCATGAAATCTTTATTTGTAAGCTCAGTTTATGGAATGGAAATACAGATTTGAAAACTTGTCAAGTACTAAGATGCAATACTTTGCTCTCTAGACTTGAAAGATTAAAGGGACTAAAGTACAGACTTTGAGAGACAAGATTTGTAGAGTTCACAAAGATCCGTCAAGTTCTCATCTATCACCACTCCTCTTTTCTTCCCCTTGCATGCTATTCCTTCTCCCATCCAAGACAATTTCATTGTTCCCCTGATGAGTTATAAAGAGGTCACAGGAATATCCTTCTTAAAATAAGATCTGCTGTCACAAATTACCCTCCTGTCTGAGGAAAAGCCAGAATTCACATCACTTCTGCATACTCCTCTTTATTTCCCTTCACATTTGGAGAAAAGTAACATTTTTTCCATTTCAGAGAAGCAATGGTCTACTGTTCACAATTGGGTCTTAATTCTCTTCAGTCCAAAGAAAATTATGAAACCCTATGCCTAACAGGGTAGCCCTGACTTTCATGATCCACTAATAATTCTAATGTTTTTCGAAGTAAATAGAGAGGCATCCATTCTGAGACAAGTTAAGGGAGCCACTAGTCTGAAAAAACTCAGGAGAAGGGGCATTATCCAGCCTGTTTAGCTAAGAATTCTGCTCCAAGAAGAACTGCACGGGTAGCAGATGTGGTGGGAGCAGAATTAAATGCACAGGAGTTACATTTTCAGCTTACAATAATGCATACTTGAAGAAAATATACAGAGAAGATACAGCTCACATATAAACCTCCCACTCAAAGAGTTAAAGTGTATCTCAGAGGCAAGCTGGGTTTTATTTAATTTTTTTAATAGTATTTTATTGTGCTGTGGGTTGGTTTGGTGTGTTTTTTAAAACCTCGAAAGTGTTTTAATTTTTTTTCTTCCCCCTTCCCCATCCCCACAACGCACCAGATTGTTCCAGATTCTTGTCATGCGTAACAAGCTGGTTTTTAGAAACTACCTGATGGGTTTCTGCATACTCACTAACCTTCTATTAAGAAAAAGGTCTCCATTTTGACACATCCAAGAACATTGCAGGCCTGGCAGGTGTAGAGGCCTTCGTCCTCCTTCCTCACCCTCCGGATGGTTAGGTTCTGGTTTCCATCTTTCAACACGATGCCTAAGGGAGGAGGAAATAGTTTGATTCATGATGGTTTTTACAGATATTAAAAAAAAAAAAAGGAAATGATCCTCTTCATTGTGGGCTATTATTTCATTTTGAAGCATCAGATTGCGCCAGCTGTTAACTGGTCTCCCCTTGGTTTGCATATACTGACCTCTACCTGGTCTATGTCTAAGCAGAAACAACTTAGAGGTCCTTAAGGGAGAAAACTAGCTTATTTCCTGGGCATGTTAAGGTCAGGGGCCTCCTACATCTCTTTTTCCGAATTCACCAAGGCTGCTGATCACTCAAAGTCCTCATCTATGAAATGAACCAGACCAGGGACACTAATACTGCCTTTGTTTTAAACCAACTTAATAAATGAAGACAGATGGTCAAGGAGTCTTAGAGAGGACGCAGCCAGAGTGCTCTTTGGAGGCAAGAATGATGAGGCTTTGCCTCATATACTCTGGGCATGTTGTTGAGAGGGACTATTCCCTGGAGAAGGACGTGATGCTGGGAAGGGTGGAGGGTCGGCAAAGGAGAGGAAGACCCTCAACTAGAAGGACTGACACAGTGACTGCTGCAATGGGCTCTTTTGTGTCAGGACATGTGAAGATGGTGCAGGGTTCAGATCTGTTGTTCACAGTGTTGCTATGAGTCCTACTGGACTTGATGCATCTAACAACAACAAAAATAAACGAAGAATTACTATAGCTTTTAGATAGTATCTCTGGGGCAACTGCAAACAAAGGCAGAAGGGTGAGTTCCACTCACCTGAGTCTTCTACAAGTGTTTCATTATCTTTAAACCAGGTAATCTGTGGAGGAGGGTTCCCAGAGGGTATGCAGGACACTTCAATGGTTTCTCCAATACTCGTCGTTTGATTCTCCAAGTTGCCAACAATCGTAGGGGCTACACGTTCTATTGCACAGAAAAGAAACCAACATATACAGTTTAGTTAAAATTTTTGAAATGGTTTCGTGAGTTGTACATTGTTTCATAAACTATAGTAGCACGTGACTGATTAAGGTGAAAACACACAGGAGTTGGAGCTAAGTTAAATGAAACCAAAAAATCAAGATAGATAAGATATAGATGTTTTCCTGTGAACTTTCATATCAGTGTTCCAACCATGTGTTACATGCCAAAATAAAGATTCCTTTATACATTTTGTTCTCTAATCAGAACAGCTTCCTCAAGGAATGCATTCCACGAAAGGGCTAACCAGTGGCATCCTATGATCTTGTGCCACTTTTCTCTGGGAAAATGTAAAATCACACACCTTATATTTATGGAGCACCTTACTTTTTACAAAATTAATTTAGATTCTTTCTATCACGTATTACTCTTCCAGCAATGGCCACTATGACTACCCTCACTCCAACTCCTACTGCTCTTTCTGACTGATGTGCAAGGTGAGAGGAGAGATTTCATTTTGTAGTTGGAATAACTACAGTGCAAGAGAGTTAAGCAGCATGTCCAAGTCAGTATAATTACAAACACATTGACGAATAGAATCTGCTGAGTCAGAAAGAGCAATCTAGTGCTCTTTCCACTAAAATAAATAGATAAACAAAACAACACTATCTGAGGCAAGTCAGGATTTAAAGAAAATCAAGTGCTGGCTATCACTTTAAATGTATAGCAAAATTTACATTGAGCCTTTTCCTGCAAATCATCAAAGAACTGTGCAAACATCTTGTCCAAACCAATTGGACAGGAAAAGGAATCAGGCCAACAGAATCCCGTTTCAACATTTAGCCAAGTGAGGAGACCCGCTTAGTGCACACACTGGGCTGAAGCAAATGCAATGGCCTCTACTTTGTTCAAAGAATGGGTTCTGGACAACTTGGAAGTCTTTAGGGAAGAAAATCAGTTAATTGTGATCACATATTCCCTGGACAAGTGAGTCCAGGAGCCTCCGAATTCTTCCATTAAGAACTCAGAATTCATCTTTCTGAATTCTTCCATTAACTTAAAATCAAACGAACCACCAATGGCCACAACAAGGAAGTGGCCATTTGTGTGGTGTGATCTTAAGGATTCTGGGGATGATTTCTACCAAATATCTCTCTTCTGACACCTAAAGTATGAAAATTAGCAAAACCTACATTAATGCTTCTGTCTAGCTGCAGTCCCCTCTGTGTGAGGAGCAATTAAAAGAGGGGGAGAAAAATCTATGCATATGGCACCATGGGGAAAATCCCCAAATGTGCTTGATTTCCTCAGACTCTTGGCTGCACAGTATTAATGGAAGGGGGAAAAAAAGTTACGACCCTCTATGAGGTGGATTGATTCAGTGACTGGGGTAATCAGGATGGGTGTGTCAGAGGCAATGCAATTGGCACAGGATAGAGCAGGGTTTAGGGCTGTTGTACATAGGGTCGCTATGAGTCGCAAACGACTTGACGGCACATAACAACAACAACAACTAGAGAATGGTTGTACAATTTTACAAAGTTATTTGTTCACTAACATTGTCAACGCATTGACCTTTGACCATGATGGATCACGTAGGACGACCCAGAGGTCCAGGCGGTAAGAGTAGCACTCCACTTGTGGGCTCTTATAGCTCCTAAACTCACCCCACCATCACACTCAGTACAGCAGATACCTCTCTAAGCACCCAATATATGCCAGGAATTACTGAAGGGAGTAATTGCTATCCCCGTGGGAGGGCATCACTGTGCTCTGACTGCCCCTGTGTTCTCTACTAGATGGTAAGATCTTTGAGGACGGTGGGCAGTAGCCACGTGCTGTCCACCTTGTTCTCCACTGTGAACTTCTCCTGACTCACACTCATTCAAACTCTCACTGCTGTTGAGTCAGACCCCACCCACAGCTGACTCTCCTCTGGGATTCCACAACTCTAAATCACATAGGAGAAGACCGCCCATCTTTCTTCCTCAGAGGCCCTGGTGGATTCAAACCAGCAGAGAGGCGTGGCCTTTAATAGCAGAGCACAACTACAGACAATGCCAACAGATACTAGGCATGCCATTATATGTGTCTGTTTGGATACATGTCCAAGAAAAAAGGCAGACATTTCCAAGGTCCAAGCTAATCACTCACAGACACTAGGGAGTAGCCTCAATGTTGGAAAGAGCTATTTTTCTTTCTTTTTTTCGATATACATTACTTCACCATTATAGCTCTCTTGTCCCCCTTCCAGGGTTTCAGCAAACAAGACTATCCAACAGTCTACACTATAAGCTGTTAAAGGAGAGAAATCTTATAGCACCTCAAAACATTGCACTTAAAGCATCCCAATGGCCTCGGGGAGATGACTCAGAGCAGCCTTCCTACCTAGGACCACAAGCTGCTTGATCACACAATGCCTTTTCTTGGTCTTTCTGTCATGAGCAAAGCAGACGTAGCCTCCTCGGTCCTGCAAGGATGCGTTCTGGAATTCCAAGACCAAAATGTCCCTCGTGCCATTAGAGGACATGGTAGCATTCAGTCTCTGAAGAGAGTCCAGGTTCTTGCAAGCAGATGTGGATAACTGCCCTTCTTGGGGTAGCAGGGCCTGCGCACCAAGCCTGTACCATGTGAGGTTCTCAAACGTCGCTCTGTCTACGGCGCACCACAGGGACACAGCCTCCTGTTCGGTCGGCTGGGCATCAGGTTGCAAGGTAATTTCAGGACCCCCTGAGATGGAAAACCCACAGTTAGAGCATCATGACTTAACTTGGCACAGCACACCATGCTTTTCTGCTGCCTTTAGATTCTGACTGCAAAGCCCGAAAGAAAAGAAGCTCAAGCTATCACAGATGATGCCACACAAGAGACAATCAAATTTAGGCAATCTAGGTCCCAAAATGTTCATTCAGCCTAAACTCCTGAGATAATTATTATACTGACACTTTGAGCACTCAGCATAATATTTAAGATTACAAAACAGATCTAAAGCAGAAAATCTAGTCACACCATAAAATCTTAAAAAGTAGTAGTAGTTGTTGTTTACCATCAGGTTGGAACCAGCCCAGAGCTGACCCTCCAGTGGGCTTTCAGAGGCAATTAATCACAAAAGATATATTGTCCACCCTTCTTCCAAAGAGCAGCTGGTGGATTCAAACCGAGTGCCTTCAGGATTGCAGTGCAGCTTCTTGCCATTAGGCCATACTCAATAACATGAAAGCTATACTCCCACACTCACTCATTCACCTGATCTAAACTATTTTATTCGTTTCAATCAGCCAGAACTTATCCATAAAACTAAGGCAGTAGTTAATGGTAGCTATTTTGTGCCTTAGGTTATAATCACCTTACAAATGACCATCTATTGGGATTTCAGAGGCTGTAGATCTCATGAGAGGAGATTGCTCATCTTTCTCCTTCTGAGGTAGCTGGTGAATTTGAACTGCTTGCCTTTGTGTGGGCAGTGCAACTCCTAACTCACTAGGCCACCAGAACTCCTAAAGCTACAGTGGAAAGGCAAAATTCACAGAAAGCGTTGCTCTTATGACCTGTGTTAGTTGCCAGAAAACCTAACCTCATCAGCTCTTCAGCATGAAGCCCACCAACTTTCACTGAACCATTTATTAAGCCAATCACTGGCCTCATGTCTGAGGATGAAAACATATATGCAGCGATGCAGCCAGAGTTTGAAAGTCTATGTGAACATTTTAACCCTCCGGTGAAGCTGATAAACACAAGCCCAAGAGCTACCTCAGGAGTTTTCATTTAGAAACAAAAGTTCCAATTTCCAAGCTAAGGCCACCCCCTAAATTCCAACCCATTCACAAAAGTGGTGAGGGCGAAGGAGAATGACACAAATGGGGGCTGGCTGAGGAGGAAATCCAACCCACTACCCTCCAGAGCAGAGTACTTACGAGTCACATGGAAAGAGATAACCCTCTCTCCGAGCCCGGCTCTGTTAATGGCTTTACATTTATACAAAGCTGACACATTTGCCGCTTGGATAACAAGGGTGCTTACAGTCTGTGAAGAAAACAAAAACAAGCTCAGGTCATAAACAATGGAAGCTGTGTTTGTGCTCACATGGTCAAACAAAAACACAGCAGTCTCCACACTGTTAGTACCTGCCTACTTCATTCATGCTTCCAGACACAATTTATGCAATTATAATTATGTCAGTGTATTCAATTACATTAGAAACCATAAAATAAGTCATCCAGTTTAGTATAGTCTTTTAATATAGCATTATACAAACACATACTTTAATAAAACATTATAAATATGTTTTAATGTAACATACATGCACATGCATTTTTTCCAAGTTTTATTAGAATCCACAATAAACTTGTAATGGCCTATGCTTCATTCTTCCATAATAAGTTATAAGATATTGATAAATCAATAGTAGAGATGGCTGAACAACATGATAAACATATTTAATATTGCTGTTATAGAAGGGAATTGATGCCTTTGAGCTGTGGTGCTGGATATGAGACCATGGACTGCTAAGAAAACAAGTTCATCCTGGAGAGGGTTGCTCCAGGCTGCTCCTTGGAGGCAAGTATTCTGATGCTTCGTCTGACATACTTTGGACATGTTGCAAGGAGGGACAGGTCCTTGGAGAGAGACATCATGCTTAGTAGGATGGAGGGACAGCACAGGAGGGGAAGACCCTCTATGAGGCGGATTGATTCAGTGACTGGGGTACTCGGGATGGGTGTGTCAGAGGCAATGAGATTGGCACAGGATAGAGCACGGTTTAGGGCTGTTGTACATAGCAAGTGACTCGACGGCACATAACAACAACAACATTGTTATGTACTATCAAATCAGATTCAACTCACAGCTGACTGTCCGGTGAGTTTTTAGAGGTAGTAAATTGCACAGGAGGAGGAGTAGCCGGTCAGTCCAAACCATGTGCCTTCAGGCTGGCAGCACAGCTTCTTATCAGTAGGCCACCAGAGCTCCCTTATTTAATGTTGTTGTTAGGTGCCATCAGGTCAAGTAGGACTCATAGCAACCGTATAAACATCAGACGCGAACCCTGTCTTCTCCTGTGCAAGCTAGAGCCCATTGTTGTTGTAGTCACAGAGCCAATCCATCTTGGTTGGGGGAGCGTGGTCTTTTTCTCTTTTGCTGACCTTCCCCCTTCCTAACCATGTCCCTTTCCAAGGAATAGCTTCTCCTAGAAAGATCCCCAAAGTATGAGAAATGAAGCTTTGCAATCTTTGCTTCCAAGGAGCAGTCTGGCTACATTTTTTTTCCCTAAGCTGTATCTGTTTATTCTTCTGGAAGTCCATGGGACATCTAATACTCCTCTCTAACACCACAGTTCAAAGGCATCAATTCTTCTTCTGCAATCCTAATTCATTATCCAGCATTCAGACATGTAGAAAGAGATTGAAAGGACCATAGCCTAAATCAGGCATACCATCATCTTCAAAGTGACATCATTCATCTTCAACATTTTGGAGAGGTCCTTAATATTAGCAAATTGTAAATAAGAAGCTCTGGTAAGCTGGGGTAAGGAGTTGTGCTTGCCAACCCCAAAGCAGGTGGTTCAAATCCACCAGATGCTCCATAGGAGAAAGAGGGGCAATTTCATCCTATGTGACTCACAGATTCTGAAAACACAACGGAGGATCAATTACAAGTTTGTTCCAACTCAACAGTAATGAGTGAGTAAGTGACTGACTGAGTGAAACTGTAAATATAAAGGTAAGTGAATCAGAAAAAGTCTTAGTCTGACTGTATTTACCACAACTGAAAAAAAAGAACTTCTAAATTAAATGGTGTTTTTACCAAACTGAGTTACTATGCTATTTTCTCCTGTTTTCATTTTAATTTTATTTGATTGCTATAAATTTGGTAATTAATCTCTAATTCTCTCCACCTATTATTTTATCATACTGTCACTTGTAAATAGAAAGAAATGAGTGGATTTCAGATTAAAGAATTTCAACTTACTTTGTTTTTTCCTTCAATTACAGCAAATTGGTTTTTAGTAACTTCAATTTTATTTCCCCCCTGGGAGTCCTCCACGTTCTTCCATTCTTTGCAAGTATATGGTTTTGTCGTTAAGGCAGCTTGACTATAAGAAAGAGATCATAGATCACATGGCAATGCCATTTTTCTTTCCTTCAAGTAAGTAGTAAAAAAGGGGAGGGGGAATCAGACTTTGGTTATGATGCTTCTGGAAATAACTCTCAATGCAGACTGCAATGTGTTAAGATTTCATGCCAGTCAGAAACAGGTCTCAGCAACGAAATGGAAGGTTCTAGATAGATTCATTCAGGATACAGGAGGGAAGCAGCTATTCTGGGAAAACAAATCCCCATTCATAAATGGGACTGACAAGACAATTTGAGCTAATTTAGTTCAAAGGAAGGCATGGAAACTGAGAAGCCATTGGGCTTCTTAAAGTAATCTCTCTGGGACTATGGCCTCTGCAAAGGAAATGACCAAACAGCTGAGGAAGAAATGCGGGGTGGCCATTTCAAAAACAACAACAGGAACTGTACTGCTTAAGGTGGTGATGGGTTGGTTGTTGTTGTTTTATTTTGTTTTGTTTTTTCCTAAGGATGTCTGGACTTATGTTAGAAGCTGATAAGCTAGACCTGAGGCGCTGAGGGTGAGGCCAAGTCACTTAGCCCACCAGCACTTCCTCTGAGATGGACCTTCCACAGATAAGGAGAGGAGCTCCCTAGCGGACTGGTAGAGGAGGAAGTCCAATGATTTGGCAAGTAGCAAACCAAGCAAATTTGCACTGAGCGAGTTAGACATTGGGGTCAATCTGAGGAGATACCTCATACAAAGAGAATGAGTTAGCATAAGCAGTATTATCCTCTACAAGTTGAGATGTGGAAGAAGGTAAAGGATGTGACCAGGTCCTATGGAGAAAGATTTTTCTTAAAGATAGTCATAGCACAGCAGGGCTATAGGAAATGCAAAACTATCAGATGACATTGCCAATGGCTCTACTCACATGGGGCTGTAGTTGCATTCTTCCTCCAACTGCCAGTACCACTGGATGTGGCGTGGCGGAGGGACGGCGTAGACCGTGCATGTCAGAGTCTGCATGGTGCCATACTGGTAGGAATCCATGGGCGCTATCAGAGATTTCTCCCCAATCTCAGGTGGGACTGGAGACAAGAAAAACAACTTTGAAATTGTCCGTCAACGTAACTGAACAAGAAGCAGAGGTTTTCTGTGATGAAAAGTCTACATTTTGTTTGGTTATTTTAACATGGGATTTTTGTTCCCACTTCCAGAAGTTCCATTCTTTAAGCTCCTCCTTGGGAGAAAGATGGGCAGTCTTCTTCCATAAAGATTTACAACGGAGGGTAGTTATGAGCCAGAATCAACTGGACAGTAGTGGGTTTGGGTTTTCAGCTTTGATTTCTTAAAAAAAAAACAAAACTAAATTTGTATAACTTGTATATTTCTACAGATAACTGACAAACTGACAAAACTGAGTGGCTGTGCAAATACTAGAATCTAATCTTCATTTTGCCCATCTCCATTATGGGAATAATTCCTCCAGTTGTCACAATCACAAGACTGGGGCAAGCCTCCAGGAAGGACATAGCTGTGAGTAACAAGTACATCATGATGTGCCAAGCATTATTCTAAGTACTTTCCATTGATTAATTCATTATGCTCACAACCACTTTGATTGCCTCCCCTTGCCCATTTTACATGCACAGAAGAATTCAACGACTTCCCCAAAGCCACACAGTTAATAAATGGCAAAACCAGGAACAAGCATTCTGACTTTGGAACCCAAACACTAAACTACATTATAAACAAAGATATAAATCATTATGGAATGAATCATGCCCACTATCAATGGCATCTATCTTTCTCTCCTCTCTCCCTTCCTAACATTCTTCTTCCTCCTATACTATTCTTCTCTTTTTGACTTCAAAGTCATTGATGATGTTATTGTTACTGTTTTCTGTAAGGGTAAAAAAAAGTATATTGATATGTTTACTATAAGAATTTGGAAAATGTCTCCGGGAAAGGACTCATAGCTGACGCTCCAGGGGGTTTTCTGGGAGCAGTATATCACACAGGAGGAGATTACCCATTGTTCTCCTGCAGAGCAGTTGGTGGATTTGAACCGCGTTTCTTTGGGTTGGCAGTGCAACTACTTACCACTAAGCCATCAGAGCTCCCTTTCTAGGAGGTCTGGTGGAGCAGTTCAGCTGCTAACTGCTCCATGCAAAGCTGCTATGTTGGGCTGCTAACTTAAGGTTTGCAGTGTGAATCCACAAAACAGCTCTGTGGAAGAAAGCTCTGGTGATCAGCTTCTGTAAAGATTGTAATTGTTGTCAGGTGCCATTGGGTTGACTAGAACTCATGAAGACCCTAGGAACAACAGATTGACACCTTGTCCTGTCCTGCAGTAACTCCACATCCTCCATCATGGTCAAGCCCATCGTTGCTGTCACTGTCTCACTCCACCTCCCTAGCTTACCCTATAAGGCAGCTCTCCTCTGTCACTGGGGGTCACCACGAATCAAAATCAGCCCACAGAACCTAACAACATTTCCCTCACACTATCAACTGAACTTCTCAGCGTTTCAAAATGTAACTGCTATTGTATGTTTGTTTCATCTACTAGAGTAAAAGACAGGATGACTCAAATGTCTGATGACTTCACACACTGACCAGTTGGGCTTATTCACTGGCCATTTATTTGTCCTCATTTCTTATTCATTTCCTTCTTCCCACCTTAATTATAAGCTTTCCAGTTTCTCTCCTTTTTCCAAGTGCCTGGCTTGAAAACAAATTTTGAGGAATCTGTTATCTTGAAAATATTTTTTGGACTTGATTTCCCAGGGGGAAAAAAAAGAAAGAAAGCAAAGCCTAGTACAGCAGATATACAGCAGGGTAGCAGGGACCACGGGAAACCAGTTGCCAACAAGGTGACTCTGACTCACGGTGACTCATGATGTGTGTCAGAGCACTTAGTGCTCCACAGGGTTTCAGTGAATGATTTTTGGGCAGTTGGCCACCATATCTTTGTTACCTGCAATCTCTGGATGGACTTAACTGCCCACTCTTTGGTTGGCTGCCAAGTAGTACAAACCAACCATCTGTACTTCTCAGGGCCTCCAGAAGCCCGGGAGAAGCATCTTATTTTCACGAGGGAAGATCTGTGTTTTTACTACAATGTACCTCCTCTCAAAACTTCATTTTTATGTGAATTATATATAAAACTCATTATGTATGTGCCTCTGAAAACCCATCAGTGGGTCAGCTACGCGAGGTAGACAACACCACCACCATCATAAAAAAACTGTTGGCAAGGAAGGAACAGTCAAGTGGACTCACCATTCACAACCAGAGATACCACGTGGCTCTGTTTCTCCTTTGAGACGGGATTGGTGAGAATGACCGTGTAGTTGCCTGTATCCTTTTCGCTCACTTCCATAATTGTCAGCACATGTCCCACCTTGATTGTGTGATTGGACTCAAGGAGCTTCCCATTTTTATACCTATGGGGGGGGGGCAGAAATCCCAAGTAGTTGTTCAGTCTCAAGATTTGCCTTCACATGAAATGAGGCTCTGCATTTGTGTCCAATAATTACCATTTGATCTCAGGAGGTGGGTAACCAAGACTTTTTACAGGGATCCTCACACGGTCTCCCACTGTGGCTTCCACCAAGGAGTCCATGCCACTATGAAAAGCAACAAAAGGTTTTTCTGTAAAAAAAAAAAATTCTCATAAATGATCATTTACTAGAAATGGTTTGTTGTTTAACTTTTCATTTCAATTTCAAAGTGAAATTTTGGGGAATCTGAGGGTTGTGATTCAGACATCCCCTATACTCCCTTCCTACGTCATATTCCAGCCCCAACCCATATGTCTAATCTTTGCATTTAATTTTTCTCTCTCACTGAGTGTGCTTTCCTAATCCTACTCATCACTTAGACCTCAATTACAGCAGCCACTCCACTATGAACTTTTCTCCAAGTCCTCCAGGGCCATGAGGGGCACTCCTTCTGCTGTTTCAAGAATGTGCTAGAAATAATCCCTCCCAGATGCTGGTAGGTATCAGGGTTATGTACACTTTCCTGTTTCAGGCTAAAAGCACCATTTACTTAGATTCTAAATTGAGATCTCTAAATCCATGGTTTAGGCCATTTAGATGGTTAATGGGCATCTCTAACCTTGTTTCCTAAATGTACTCCTCTGCCTTCCTTCTGAGCTCTTATAGTCTGGTGGGTAAGGAATTGCACTGCCACCTTAAAAGCAGGTGGTTCAAATCCACCAGCTGCCCCGCAGGAGGAAAGATGAGCAATCTCCTCTTGTGTGATTTACAGCCTCTGGAAATCTACCGGAGGGTCAGCTATGAGTCAGTTCCGACTCTATTGCAATGATTTCCTCCCATCCCTCCTTTTTTGATCTCAGCCCAACCCAGCTGCCCATGGTGGGGGTGGGGGGAATATTAAGCAACCTCCTCCATTCTTTTCTTTCTCTTATATACCACAGCCAGTGGATCCCTCAGCAAAACTGATTGGTTCCTCTTCAAAACACATCTAGATCAGACTACTTTGCACCATCTCTGTATGGCGTCCAAGACATTCACTATCCCTCACCTGGATTATTGCAGTTAGTCACCTAACTAGTCTTTCCCTCAAGTATATTTTTCATATTAATGAAACATAAAATGTAGGTCTCGAAAACATAAGCGAGAGAATATTGTGGGGATTTTTCCAGTTCAAAACCCTCTGATGACTTCTCATACTGTAAAATTCACAATCTGTAAGTAGAGTGTATCTAAATTATCATCTGAATCGAGATATTTATGAGAGTGAGGGAGAATAAAAATGAGAAAGGAGATCATTTCTCAAAGTCCCACAGCTAAGTAAATGAATCCAGGCTATTCTAGTAGACCTTGCAGGTTTGTGTTGACAATAAAGCTACCTTTGATGCCAAACTCTACTTTGAGATCATCATCTGTTGTTGTTATGTGCCATCAAGTTGACTATGACTCAGAGGGACTCTATGAACGAAGGTTCTGAGCCTTGCCCTATCCTGAACCAACTTCACCATCTCTAACACACTTGACCCCACTGCCACAGTTACTGAAATAATAATAGCAAACATAATAACGGGCATTTAGTGAACATGTACTGTTGTTGCTGTTGTGTGCCATCAAGTCAGAACCGGCTTATTGCCCTCCAGTGGGTTTTAGAAGCAGTGAGCCACCTGGAAGGAGACTGCCCATTCTTGTCCTGCTGAGCAGCTGGCTGATTTGAACCCATGTTGATGGATTTGAACCACATGCCTTTGGGACTGCAGCACATCTTCTTACCATGAAGCCACCAGAGCTCCGTAAATGAGATAACATTTCACCTTCAGAGCTGGGATTTGCATATTCTTCTCTGCTTTCAATGTTACGCTCTATTTCCCTGCGACTTCACTAGCAAATGCTCAAAAATATCTGCTGAATGGATATAATAGGAAGGGTGCTCCTTAGAGGCAAGAATAGTGAAACTTCATCTCACGTACTTTGGGCATGCTGTCAGGAGGGGTCTTGGGAAAAGACCTCATACTGAGAAAGGCACAGGGTCAGAGAAAGAGAAGACCTTCAATAAAATAGATTGACATAGAGACCGTGACAATGGTCTCGAGGATATCAGAGAGTGTGACAGGTTAGGGCAAGATTCGGATTTGTTGTTCATAGGGTTGTTATAAGTCATAGTCAACTTAATGGCACCTAACAACATCTAATCAAACTTTCTTGCAATTGTTTCACTTTTCAAAGGAGCCCCTCACTTACCATGGACCCTGACAAAGGTGCTGTTCTTCTTGGTCATCCGCCCACTGGATGCAGCACAGCTATAGAGCCCTTGGTCATTCCGAGACACACTATCTATAGTCAAGGTGCTAAAGAATGTCTTTGTTTCACCGTTAGACTGGAACTTTAGGTCCCGGTTTATATGTTTCTTATGCTGATGCTGAAAAACAAAACCAACAATTTCATTTCCTCCCAAAGCTGAATACAGTATTACCTTGCAGCTTCCCACATGGCAACAAAATCAAGTCTTGGGCCTGGAGGAACACTATGTAATGCTGACAACAGTAACTCCAGAATGTTTGCCGTTACATAGATAACAAAAGCACTTGGTGTCAGGAGAAAGAAATGAATCAGGATTTTGAAAAGCCTCATACATACAGTGGGAATAATACGGAAGTGAACTACAGACACAAGCAAATATGACTCCTGTTCCTGGAAAAGTATGCCTCATTCTATCTCTTATGAAGACATTTATTCAGACAGGGAAAACAGATCAAGGACTTTGAAGAACAGGAATAAATTGAAAATAGATAGATTCCTAGTGAAAACTATTATTCCTGGCTTCATTGTAGCAAAGTGACACAGAACTTGATATTACTTCTTTTTTTCCCCCCCTCATTTCATCAGTGTTGTATGTTCTGCAATTCTTCAATGTTTTAAGTTCTTTATAGAAAGTTACCAGGCATCAGAATCAACCAGGTGGAACCCTTCACATTTTATCTCAGTATTACTGGTGGCTCAGTGGTTGACCGTCTCCTGCCTGAGTGAACCGGGACTGAGCCCTAGCCAATGTGCAGCCACAATCCCTCAGCTTGCATGCTGCTATGAGGCTCAAGAGTTTTCAGCTGGAGCTTTCAAACTACAGATGGGCTAGGAAGAAAGGCCCAGCAATCTACTTGTGAACATCTGTCAATGAAAACCTAACAATCCATTCTTCTTACCAATCATAGAAATGGCAAGGGATGGGGCCGCATTTTGTTCTGTCATGGATGGAGTTACCATGAGGGTCAGGCCAATTTAATGGTAGCTAACAACAGTCACAACATATTTTATCTGCCAGAGTTTGTCCTACCTTTCCCAAGCAATCGTTGAGGGTTATAATCAAAGCCCTGAGTGGTGTGGTCTGTCTGTGAATTGTGGCTATTACCTTCAAACAAGGATAATCCCACTGGAAAGAAATCCCCACATTTAGTTCCGTCTTTGCTGTACAATTTAGGACAAGTTTCTCTCCAACAGACAACTCAACTGCATGAGCAGGACTCACAGCCACATCATAAATCTTGTAACCTGGACAAGCAAATTGGAAAAATGGAGAAGGAAAGAGGAAAACAAATCAATAACTTGGCACCAACAGTTCAATGCAATTTTTTAAATGTCATATAATATTTCCCCACAGACCTTACCAAAACCTGGGAATCTCTCAGAAAAAGCACCTACAGAGATTTACAAAACACTGGCTCAACAATGTTGAAGTAAAATGAATGGAAGAGTAGTAATTTCAGGGGTCAACAGCTAGCAGCCAATAGACAGAATTTTTTTAAAAAACTGGTAACATGTATTACACACTACATACTGATATTTTCCCTCTCAGAAACTATGGTATGGTAATAACTTTCTTTTTAATCATTTTTTTTTGCTTTGCAAGAAAGATAAAAACCCAGTTGCACATGAATTTATTGGTGAAGGAGAGTAGATATAACGGATGTCCCAAACCACCGCATAAGCTGTGTTTTTCCATATCTCTGTCCTTCACCACACACCTTAACCTCCAGAAGCTTAGTACAGGAAGCAAATCTTGATTATCTAAGATTAATGATATAGGAAAGAACTATTCTCTTACCAAGAACCACAACTATATACGTAATAGACTGATAGGTTTCATCATTAATTTTTGCTTCACAGAAGACCATTCCAGCATAGCTGATCATGTAGCTGGGAATAGTGAAGCCTTCCTTGCTGTTCCAGAAAATCCTGTTGCCATCAGGAACAAATCTCTTCTCTGGATACCTCTGGGATAAAGTGAAACAGGAAATATTTGATTATGTGCTTTCTAAAGTGAATCCCTAATAAGCTCATGTCTAAAGAAGTTGCCTTACTTCTAAGAATAACAGTAGGTCTTGTTTTTATTCATTGCCATTTGATCCTTCTTTAAAGGACTCTTTAGGGACTCTGGTGGCTTAGTGGGTAAGGAGTTGTGTTGCCAACCCAAAATAAAACAGTTCAAATCTACCAGCTGCTTCAGGATGGGCAATCTCCTCCTGTTCAATTTACTGCCTTTGGAAGCCCACTGGAGGATCAGGTATGAGTTGGTTCCAACCCAATAATACAACACAAAAGCAACAAATACTCTTTAAACTCATGGCTGATATTTTAAGCAGGCTGTACTCCATAACAGTTTAAAGTTATAAAAACTTAAGAGAGGCCACAAAGAGCCCTGATGATGCAGTGATTAAAGGACTTGACTGCTAATTGAAGGGTCGGTAGTTTGAATCCAGCTACTTCACTTCTACTTTCAGGAGAAAGATATCACATTCTGCTTCCATAAAGATTTACAGCCTTGGAAAGTCCCCTCACTCTGCCCCATATGATCACTGCAAGTCAGCATTGACTCGCCAACAGTGAATAAGAGAGGATTAAACTCACGGCACACAGTGACACGTTGAGGTTTGAAACAGTCCCGCGACACGGAATCACCAGACTTTTGTTTTTGTTGTCTGTGATGAACACAACTTCATGCTCATCACTAACAGAAGCAATAAATGGAGATCTGTAATCTAGAAGAAGACAAAATGTCATCTATCATTTAACAGCATTTACTACTGAAGTTAGTCACCTTTCAATTCCATAAACTAACCGGAGAGATGGATTATGAATGGAACCTCAGAGCAGCTGGCTGACAGGAAACTGAGCCCAAGAATATGCTACAGAATATGGTCCTTAAAAGGACAGGTAGATAGGTAAGTGGATATACCTGTGTGTGTGTGTGTGTGTGTGTGTGTGTGTGTGTGTGTGTGTGTGCACCTGAAAGAAAATTTCCAAAATGAGGCTGATTCCTTTTACAAAGATTATCAAGAAGTCCACCAAACTTCATAGTTAACACATTTTAACATTTTTATCATTATACTTTTTTTTTCAAAATGAACTCACATATTTATTTCTAAAGTTTGAAGTTAAATCTATACCCTTTACCTACTCATTTTCAAAAAGTCATATTCTCTCTCTCTTCAGGAAAATAATATATTTATGAAAATAAATGAAATTCATTATTATTGTTTTATTACTTTATTATTACTTGTGACTTATAAATTAATTATTAATTACATTAACTATGAAAATCAATTAATGACTCTAAAACATCTTTAAGGGTCCTGCTGGCACTGTGGACTAAGTATTGGGCTCTGAACTGAAATGTTGGCAGTTCAAAACCATCAACTTCTCTGTGGGAAAAAGAGATAATGTGCTTCTGTAAAGATTCCCAGCCTTGGAAATCCTAAGGCATAGAGTTAGTGTGTCAAAGCCAATGTGTGTGGATCAGAACTGACTCTACAACTGTGAAAGGATTCTTAAAATAAACAGCTATGAGAGGCAAGGTAGAGATGTGCAAAAATTAATACACAGAAAAACTGGGTGAAGGGAAAGGTAATATACAAAAAGGATTTGATTAGACATTGTAATTAATATTTATCAATTTCAATTAATTTCTATAACAACATGTTTCTGAATGAGCGGATGAAAATAACATAATTTGTAAACTTTCACTCAAATGAAAAAAGATAAAAGCATTTCAATTTTTTAACTCAGTCTAGGGAGTTTTGTATGGACATTTTAGGATTGTGATAACTTCCTGTAAGATTCTACTTCTAAACTAATACTTAATAAATAAT